AACTCGTTGTCTCGTGCGTAATACACAAACATACGCACACACACACACACACACACACACATATATATACATCATCTATTTGTGTCTTAATTAAAATCGAGATATCATGGAGCGAGACCGATCCGTACAGGATTTTCAGCCTATTCGAAATCGTCAATATTTGTACACCCTTCCCCTTCGATCGAGGGGAAACATTTTTCCAACCAGGATGGAATCGCGTGTGCACTATTCAGATGGTACGCAAAGTTACACGGAGGGCAAATCGAACGAACGAACGAACGAACGAACGAACGAACGAGGGTAGAAAGTAGTTGAGAAATTTCAATCGTTTGTGTTGACTCGCCTAATAGATTCCCGAGAAAACGGGCAAACGGGGGCGGTGTTCTGATTCGATCAGACTTTCATTCGATTCGATTGATTCGATGCTCTCTCTCTCTCTCTCTCTCTCTCTTTTCTAAATTTAAATCGCACATATGATTGGATCTCGTTGTTTAAGTTACTCCTCCCGTCGATATCTGTCTCTATTATCCGTCTCTCCGCAGATTTTCTCACCTCAACCCCTCCCTTCTCTTTAGAAAAAAAAAAAAAAAGAAGAAAGAAAGAGAAAAGAAAAGTCGCGTTGGATCTTTCAATCTGTTCGCGTTGAAAGAGAGTTGGCGTTTCAATTTTTACAGGAACGAGAGCGAAAGAGTCGAACGTTGATCGTTCGACTTCGTTATCGGGAGAAAAGGCGGGGCAACGCTTTGCAATTAAGCCGCGATCACGATTTCCTCCTCCTCGAGCATTTTCCCTCGTTTCGACGAATTCGAAAGGAACGGGACATTACAAAGTTTTTTTCCTTGTCGATCGATTTCCCCACGCATCGTATCCACGCGTTTTCGATCGTTTCCCAAGCAAATAAAGAACGGAACGAAAGTGAATATCGAAGCTGTTTTTCGAGGAACGGGTGGCAATTTTCACTTGGCCGACGATTTCGAACGAAACGCGTATAAAAAAAAAAAAAATCGAATGGAAAAACATACAACATTTCCTCCTTGCGATAGAGTGGAAACGTTTCCGCCTGCGGTCGTGAAACCATTTTTACCGGGGAGGGAGAGAATGATGGAAAATTGACTTCCTGCGATAATTTTTCTTTTTTTTTAAACAATCGAATTGGAACGATCGGGAGCAATCGATCGAGGCACGGATCGATAATACAACAAAGTAGAATCGCGCGCACGAGATTAGACTTGCACGCCACGTTCTTTTTTCCTTCGAGTCGCGACACGTTCCTCCTTTTTTTTTCTCTTCGAGCGCGCGTTAGAAGTTTTATTAGAAATCGATCGATTACGCACGCTCTGATAACGCTCTAATAACTTGGAAAAAAAGAAAAGAAAAAAAAAAGGAATACAAGGAAAGGAAAAGAGCGGTGGGACGAAAGGGGGACGAAAGATTCTGACGAAGGCCTCTGCGCGCGAGCGAAGCTTCCACGGGATTCTTCCACGCGAAGTAACGCGCGGCGAAGCCGGCTGTGGAAAATTCGTGGACGAAAAGCGTGGACGGGCGGCTACAACTTCCTTCGAGGTATTCGACAATATCCTGTTCGCGACGACAAAGGGGAAAATTCCTCCGAGGCGGAGACAGAAGGATGGAACGAGGGCTTGTAATCAAAAGAGGGGAGGAGCGATGCATAACGCTATAGATATGAAAAGGGGGGATTGCAGATACGTTTTATCATTGACGAATAGGTGGACGGATTTGTTTTGACACTTTTTTCTTTTCTTTTTTAAAACATAATTCCAAAAATTTCCTTCTTAGAGCGAGCATATATTCGCAATAAGGGAGCAATGTCGATGCTCGATCAAGATTTGCCGAATCAAATCCCTCGTGACGTCGAGTCCATCGTCAAATTCAATGTCAGCGTGTGACGAAGCACGAGATCCACGAGATCCCCGAATACCTTCTTTCCGGTGGATTCTACCGGTAATAGAACAGAAGAGGGAGAAGAAAATGCGCGGAGCTTTCCAGACGGTGAAAAAGACGGTTCCTTATCAAAATTCACGGTAGAAAGATTATAAAAGAAAAGAGAGAGAGAGAAAAGGGGAGATAAGAGGACGGGAATACGGAATGAAGACGGAAGAAGAATTGGTCGTTGGAAGGAACGAAGAAAGGGGGGCAAGCGGTGCAGTTGCATTCATTTGGACGATGGATCGACGCGTAATCGCGAAGGAACGCGGCGAATTCAGGCGAGGAACACGTCGATTCGCGAATTAACGATCCATTTTTTCACCTTCCTTCCCTTCCACTTTGTTGCCGCGTTCGATCTTGCGCCATATTGTAACAATGCTTTTGCAATATTAACGGGACCGCTTATTATCGAAACGGCGCCTTTGAAGCGCGACGAATTGCCGGGGAGGGGAAGGGGAGAGAGAAGGAAGAGGAGAGGAAATCTCGCAGGAGGTTTCCATCATCGTCGTGATGGAAACGTGGATGGGTCCAGGATGTATCGGACCTATCGATCTTTTCCACTAGGTCGACAATGAATGTCCCCGTATCCAACCGAACCAACTGCTGGGTCAAACGTGAATTATTATCTAACGTCTGCTGCTAAATTGCCCGATGCTCTGCAGGTATTCGACGGGGTTCTACGTCGAATCTACGAACGTGAGACGCGTCGCAAGAACGTCGGATGTAGATTGTCGGGGAAATTGCACGCGTTTTTTTCACGCGCGTAAGCTTCGTGAAAGAAGAGCTCTCCTCCGAAAGCGAAATAAATTAAGGAGTCTCGGGGCTAAATCGATCTAGCGATCGCCTCGAGATAGAAACGTCCCTTCAAAGAAAAAAAAAGAAAAAAAGAAAAAAAATAGCTTTCGAATCGAATTCCAACTGTCGCATTAACGGGCAGTTAATCAAGTCGATTCGTTGAACGATTCCTTCCAAGGCGGTCGATCGATTCGAGATTGTTTCGAATCAATCTTCGAATCCCTCTTTTTTTTTTTTTTTTCGTATCCACAAGAAAAGCTTGCGAATTCGCGGTAATCGCGGTTTAAAACCACGGCCATTATCAACGGCTCCTCTTTTTTTTTTTTTTTCCGTATCCACCGAACTCTTTGAAACGATTACAAAGAGATTTGCTCACGGAAAAGAGTTGTTCCGATTCCTTTACGATCCGTCGCAGCGGAGGTTGTCGCGGTCTCGTGACAGGGAAGAAAATAGAATAGCTCGTGAAGAAAACGTAAGGAAAATTGCCTGTTCGCCTCTCGGATTAATGAGATGTCGTTTTCGACGAAAGAAAAACGAAGAAAAGCGCTTTGCAATCCGATTTCTTTTTCTTTTTTCTTTTTTTTCTTTTTTTTTAAAGCCAAAAGCCTCGAGTCGCCGATAGTTTATTTCATTCCTCGCGAATAACCTGACTGACGCGGATGGTCGGATGGAGGAGGAGCCGCTTTATTACAGTTCCATTACTCATCTCGTAATTAGAACAGCAGCACGAGACGAGGACAAATGAAGCTGAACGGGGCTTCTCCGTTCTTTCGCCATCCGTGTTCTCCATGGTCGATCTAGTTGTTCGAAAACAGTGAGAAATGGGCACGGCACGGAGGGATTCGTTTCCAACTGGGAATCCTCGTTGGAATTGATTTAACACCGATACTTGTGTTGCAGCTCGCGTTTTACCTCGATTATTTCTCCCCTTATTTTTTTTTTTTTGACGTTAATGAAATTCCATCGGGGCGGATGGACGGGCGGTCGTGCAGTGACGCCATCTGGATCAGCTGCTTCCAATTCAGCTATTTTCGAAACGAACTAACTTTTCACTTTTCTTCTTCTCTCTGCTCCCCCTCTCCTTCCAGGAATCTCGACCATGAATCGAAACGAAGCGCGTCGCTTCCTCCTTCTGATACTTCTCTGCACTCTGCTCACCGATTATCGAGTCAATTCCGACAGCGACGCTCGTTTATCCAGGAGAAGGAGATACGTCGTTTTTCCCGAAGGTTCAACTTTCTCCGTAAGTCCATTCTACTCTTAAATCTTGCTCACGTAATCTTAATCACGTAGTGAAAATAATCGATCCGTTTTATTCTTTATCTTATCACACTGTATCGAACGTAACACTCTTTCTTTCCTTTACCTTTGTCTCTGACGTTTCAGTTCGGGCAGGATGCTATACAAATTGCATCCTTCCCCGTAAATAAATAATAATTTTTCGTTTTCGTTCTTACAGATCGCTCTTTGCGTGACGGTGCACACTGTGACACCCGACAACATCTTCACGGAGGGCATCAATTGGGGCATCTCTTACGACTTGCCCAACGAAAGCAAACCGGCCCTCGAACCATTTTTACAATTGAGACACGACCGAGTGAAACCGGTGAAGAAATACGGGAGCCAATATCCGAGCGACAAGAACGTGGTCAAGTATTCGGGATGGAACAGTGACAAATATTACGTGAAACCCGGGAAGAGGAAGTATCTCAAGCCTGACTACTACTATCTGCAGCGTAGACATCGGCGGGAGCTTTACAGCAAATTGGAGACCATTATGAACGCGTAAGTCGAAATTTTTGCTATCCTGTTAAAAAAAGAAGGATCTCCAAGGAGAGATCGGATCTGTGCGTGGGTAGACGGATCGGAGAGATATCTAATGATGAACAAAAAAAAAAAAAAAGAAAAGAAGAAGAAGAAAAAGGAGCAAAATGGCGACTCTAGCCTGAGAATTTAAGGCATCTATTGCTCTTTCATTACGTATCGCCATTTTTTACGACCGTTATCAACGGTCGATAAAAAAGGGAAGAGCGAATAAAGCGAGCGGAAATGAATAATAATACGTTGGATAAAAAATTAACCGCTCCCTTCTAACCGGCTTCGATAAAATATTCTCGGGAATGTATCCATCCATTTTGGCGGCGTAAAAGCGCCGATCTCCTCCCATTTGAAAATCATAGGGACGAATAAATTTGCACAAAGTGCGCCAGCCTCGAGTGGCAGCCTCGATAATAAAACGTAACGGCGGCTTTAGTAGTCTGGACGTGATCGAGGGAAACGTAGTCGGCCTTTATGGCGAGCTGTCTGCGAGTTTTTTTCCCGTGTCATCTGCGGTGATGTATTTCGGCCGAGTTGGTGTAAAACGTCAATGTATCGTGACGGTGGTGATCAAGAGACAGCAGGGGAGGGAGGATTCGGCGAAAGGCGATGGCTCGTATAAGCTCGTCGAGATCGTGGAAAAACCGAGGAATATCGATTCCCCCTAGCTTCGCTCTATTCTTACTTCGTATTCTCGTCCAATTGTTTTGACGTTCCTTGCATGATCTCCTTGCATGATGCCACGTGACTCGAAACTTACACGTGACTCTTTGCGACTATACATATTTATAAAGTTTCGTTTTATTCGATTTTCTTTTCTCTTTTTTCCTTTTTCTTTTCGGCTTTACTTCATCTTATCTTATCTTCGTCACGGATCACATATTGGAACCGATCAAACTTGCGTTATTTACGAGACGCCCGATTCAATTTCTTTTCGAAAGATCGCGTCAGATTGCGTCCGACTTCTTTTATTCTCGTTCTCCCGTGAACCGAGGGAAATAATCAACCAGCTTTCCCCTAAGTTGGCTTATCGACGTGAAATGTCTGGCTAAAAAACGAAGCGTAAAAAAAGAAGAAGAAACCGTACCGTACCCCTTTGTCGTTAAGCCTGGAACCGGAGAAATGATCCGAGAGGATAATTCAGAAACAAGCTCCAACCACCACCCCGTTTCCAACGACTGTTCCAGTCTGGATAAGGCGCCGTCATCCGATCCACTACCACCCTTAAGCACCACTCTAATACCGTCGTCTCTTTCGAAATGACCGTTTCGTTGTATGACAGTTTCCTTTCTCCGTTTCTGCGTAGAATCAATTTTTCGGGCCAGACGATTCCCTATTGTTTGCCCTTTCTTTCAACGTTCTCATTCGTATTCGCCCCGTTCTGAAGAAAATTTGTGGAACAAGTTTAGTTTCACAACTTCTTCAATCCCAGACACGAGTCGTTAAATCGGATTATTTTCAATATACGTTTGGTGCCAGTGTCCTCACCTTAATTTAATTCGAATTCGAATTCGATGGTTAGCTAACCGAGTTGCTTTTTGAAAAACAAAGGATAGCATCGAACGAGCCTTTAGAATCGTTTAGAGAAATTCTTCTAATCTCGAGATAAAGGATAAAATATTTTAGGGGGGGGAGGGAAGGAATAAGAACGAGATAGTCTAACCCCACCAACCATTCTGCCAGTAATTTCACTCGGTTTCTTTCTCTATCCAAGATTGTATCCTCCCTTTCGACGAGTCTCTCCGAATTAATGGCGGACATTCGACCGAATTGGCGGATACGATCTCGTTTCTCCGCGATATTTTCCACTTGTCCTTACTTGTCCTCTAAACAAATATCACGTATTGTTCGATCTCTTCTAGCGCCATTCCTATTTTTTCCTCCTCCTCTTCTTCTTCTTCTTCTTCTTCTTTTTTGCAGTTTCCACTTTCGAGCAACTGATCGCCATCGATTATACCGTTCTTCGCCCGTTTCTTCGAGGGCGAATCGCGCGTTAGACGCGTTTCGTAATTTAGCCTATTATTTTTTGATGTATATCAAGAGGGAGCACAGGTTGCAAGAACTTTCATATCTCATATCTTGCGCGATAACTTTCTTTCGCAAAGATCGATCGCAGCTCGGCGGCCACTCAAATCAAGAGTGAAATTATTGGAGAGGGGAACGAATTTTTGATACGCCGCCGCCTCAAAGGCAACTTTAATCTTTCTGCGGAGGGAGGAGGCCGGATGAGAAAACACCGCCCCTTCCCTTTCATACAACCACGTGCAACTTGGAAACACGTTCAACAACGATACATTATTAATACGCGTTTCCCTCTTCTCGAATAATTCTCGAATAACCACCGCTTTTAATCTTTTCGTTACCCCTCTCCCCGTACATGGTATAATATTTTTCTTTTTTCATTCAGATTATCTTTCCATCGATCTTTCCCCGTTCTAATTTCTCCTATTTCCGACTCTTTCAGCATGAATTTCGACGGTAGAACGTGTATTCTTCGCGCGCTCTGCGAGGCCTCGCAACGATTGCTTCCGAAAGGGAACACCCTGGTCGAGGAAATGATGAGGATATCGTTCTCGTAAGGTTCACCTAAAAAGAAAGAAAGAAAGAAAGAAAGAAGAAAAAAAAGAAAAATTGGGGCTCCAGCTGCGCGGATTCTCCACCTTCCTCTCTCCTCCCTCTCTGGGAGGGAAGGGGTGATGAGCTTTGGCCGGGGGATCGATGGGATTTCGGAATAATCTCGTCCTCCCTCGGAAGAAGGAACGGGATCGAGACGAATTTTATTAAGCAAATAAGCTTGAAAGGAGCTCCTCCTTGAGAGGATCCTTTCTCGTCCCTCTCTCGTGATTCGCGACACCCCCTTTTCGCGCAGCTGTTGCACCCCTTTCCTCGATGTAAAAAGGCGCGTTACGCTTTTCTCCGCGTTGTTGCAGCTTCCCGTTGAAACGGTTGTTCGAGCACGAGCCGGAGGAGCATCACGCGTACAGCAGGGCACGGAAAGCGGGGCACGAGGGGCACGACTGCGCCGCCATGTTCGCCGGATGCAGCCTCTCCCTGATCGACATGGCCCTCGGGAAATACGACGCGGCTGAGAGCCCTCCACTTGCTACGCCCGAATACACGGACGAATCTTACTCTTACGGGGGCTGGGCCAGGTACAACATGAAGTAACGCGGAAGGGCGAATTTCACGGAGCGGGAAATCGGTTGGTTCGATTCCGAGAGGAGGAAATAGGGATCCTTTGATTTTGCGCGGAGGGAAGTTTTTTTTTTCAACGTTGACGAAAATTGATCCCGCATTGAACAGTGGATATAGGAATATTTTAAGATCGTGTATTTAGCGTTTACAAAGATACTTTGATTTGAAGAATTGAAGAAATTGTTACACCGTTTCGAAAACGATGAATATTATTATGTAGATTATTCTCTTCGAACATATTCCACATCTTGCAAACGAACATCTTTCGGGAATAATCGACTACGGTTGCCAACCAGGGGATATCCAAAGGTATTCCCTGAAAATTTTCAATCTTAATATATGTGATCAGAAACGTTGAAGAATCGCGACGAACGAAGCAAAAATGACGGACCGGTTCGGCGTGCATAAAATATTAAATGGAAAGTGCATCGCCGAGGATTATTTCCTTCGCAGCGAATACGTAAAGCGGTTAGAAAGAAGAAGGTATATGGACGGCAAGATAAACCACCGGCCTCGAGAATGGTGATACTCCGTGCACCATTACTACATTTTCGGTAATTGGATGAGCTTACCTATCGGTGAAGGAGGAAGGTTAGATGGGATTCGGGGCTATGAAATAAGCAGGGGCTATGAGTGCACGAGGACGGATAAGAGGATACATCCGAGTTCGTGTTCGGTTCGCCGACTCGAATCGATAATAAAGATTCTTTTGTAATATTGTTACGATCCTGGTACAATTCGGTATAATAGGATTAGATCGGAGGTTCGAACACCTTCGAGATCGCGAAAACTATTTCGAGCTAAGCGAGACTCAGTTTTCTCGCATGATCGTCCACGAGCATGATCCAGATCGCCAGATGCAGATCGAAATAGAAGAACCGATGGAGTATCGCGAGATGTTAAACCGTTGGAAATCGTGGCGACACCTGCTTTTTTCGTAATATATTTTCCAATAATTTCATCTGTTATTCGACTCGGATACGAATAAGATCTGAATTTGTTGTACGATCTTTCTCGTTAATGCGTGCTTTTGCATCCTCGTTCAATTCCATCTGCCCCGTTTTTCTTTCGACGAGAGAGAGATTACGATTTTTAACAAGATACGATTTTTATCTTGCGATAACGGATTCTTGCGTCCGTAATTTCGTCGATTTCGAAAGCGTGAACGAATCGATGGCAACGTTTCAATCAGAGGCATCGATGCGAAACAAGGGACTTAACGAAATTGAATCCCGGACACGAGTAATCCACTCCACGTTTATTTTTCTCTTCTTCGTTCCCTTCCTCTCTTAGATTTACTCCATTCGATTCTCGGCGCGCATCGAGCGCCACCGGTTTCCGCTTTGGCCTCGCGGTGACGAGGCGCCCTCGTCGTGGACGATAAGAGATGAAAAATCGTTTCGCGTTCGGCCACGTCACCGTTTCCACCGATGAACAACAACAGGGCAAAGCTCTCTCCTCGGATCCAACGGAAGAAATTGATTTTGGATTTATTCTCTCGAGAGAAGAAAACGATACGATTTCCCCGGTTTTCGTGACGAATCATCCGTTTCCATCAAGCGTCACGACCCTTCCCCGGCCGTGCACACTATTTTTACACTCTTTTATCGTTATTATAATCCCGAGAATTCGAGAAACAGAGAAAAGATTTCCGAGGTTTTCACCGCGTCGTTTGTTAAGCAACGCTTCACTGACCCGGCAATGGACCCTCGACTCAAATTCCCCCTATGTTTGACGAGGAAATGACACGGATGAGAGATAAGCTCGCCTCGTTGGTTTTCAAAGCGGCGCGCACTGTTTCAAAACTGCCGCCCAAGTATATAAAACTATATTTCATATACCTTTAAAAAGCGTAAAAGTCGTTAAGAAAAGAAGCGAGATTTATTTAAGATGGTGTATTTTTTCACCCCCTCCTCCCTTTTTCTTTTATTACAAAATATACGAAAATCGATCGAGCAACAATTTCACCAACGCGAGGAAGGAACAAGAAGGAACATTGGACCGGATCGAATAGCCTTAAACGCGTGATGTAGTCCGCGTAAAAGGGATAAAGTGGAACAAGTCGGGGCGTAGTCAGACGTGACACGTGGGTAAATAGGTTATACGTTGGCCGTGTACCACGGACAACGGAGTGGAATACCAAGCGTAAGTAGATGAGCTGGTGGAGCAGCCAGCCTTGTACGTGGTCGGACGTGCCGCATCCGAACCCTCGTAAAGAGCTGATATCCGTGGATGAGAAGCGATGCGGGGATACGGTAGGACGTGGTCTACATAGCCGGGATACGCCGCGAACGTTGCTTCAAATTGATATTTAAATGGGACGAGCGTTGCTCGTGTACACGACTATAACACGGGATCCGTCTTCGTTACACTCCTCTCGTTTCCCCCATTTTCTCGTATCCTCTTCCTTCTCCCCCTTCGTATAATCCACGGAGAAGAAATCTTGGCGGACTCCTCGAGGCAAGGGTAGGACAGGAATAGGACGTAGAATGTATGAAATTTTAAAAAAGAATTTTGAAAAAGTTAGCCGATGCGTCGTCGATCTGCCTTCTCGAATGGAAAAAGAAGGGAGGAAGATAGATTTTCGGCAGAAGGAAAGAGAGAGAGAGAGAGAGAGAGAGAGAAGAANAGGAGGAAGAGA